TTTTTTTTTTTTTTTTAATCTAATCTTCTTTACTCAGCAAAATGCATAATAACAAGCCTTTCTGGCTCAATGTGTAAACCTAATTGGAGTTCTTAATGATTTTTCTCTAAAGTAAGCAATAGAATTGATCTAGGTACTAGGTGGCAGGGGACCGGTTTAATTAGGCAATTTTGAAAGCTGTATTCGCTGCCTTTTCATTGATAGTCACAGGACAAAATAGATGGAAAATGGGGGAAAGAGATCAGGGGAATCAAATGCAATGAAGATCCCACGTGCTGGGGATCAGACCAGAATACACCCATTATCAGGAGCCTGTTGATAGGTGTGTACTGCTAAAATAGCCAAGAGATCAGTGAAAGTCTGTTATCACTGTAGAAATGTCCTTCATTTGACCTTTCCAGATTAGGGTAGCGGTTCCCCTCAGGCCACAGGCAAGCCACAGCCTCCATCACAGGAAGTGCCGCATTCATTGTTACAACTGCTCTAAAAGAGGACATTACGGTTATGTAAGTGATAAATACATTTAATCCTCATCTTACTTTTACTAGATCTTTGTCTGCCTTTATGTCTATTGCCTAATCTGTTTGGTCTCTCACTTGTCTTTTCCCTAAACTTGCTACTCTTTTTTTGTTTAGTTTTTTTTTTTGCTTTACCTCGCTACACCAAATTTTTTTCTCCCCCTGTTCTTTTTTTGTGTTGAATCAAACTTAGTTAAATTCTCTCTATTTAAGTCTCAGTTGCATCCATTTTCCACTGTCCTGTATCCATCCTTCAACTCATTTTTTCTTCTTTTGTCTCATCTGTATCACTGTCTGTCTTCTGTATCAGGAGTGCACTAAAAGGAGGATGGTTACGGGCACTTTTCCATCATTGCCTTATGTTTACCAATATGACACCAGGGAAGACATTCTCCAAATTCGGACCAGGCGAGAGGAAAGAGTTAAAGGTGATGAAGCTGATATCAGAGTTTTTACATTATTATTTTACAATCGGTGTATCTTTGTTTGGGCTGTACATGTGAGTTTATTGGAGCTGCCTGTTAGTTCGAAAACAGCAGATGTAAACTGAACACTGAGCATGAATTATAACCAAAATTATCTCCTGAAATGGGTTGTTCATTTATATATATACAGTCAAGTCCATAAGTTTTCTGTACATCCCCCAAGTTGACTTTTAATCGAACAATCAGATCATTATGTGTTGAAGTGCAGACTTTGGTTTTATAACTGCTTAGGAATTACATGCATTTGTATACATAGCGCCCAATTTTCCAGGGATCAAAAGTCATTGGATGCACTAACTTTAAATATTTTAAATATAGTGAAATCCTTTGCATTCACTGACTTGCTGAAGTCTACTACCCACCGACATCACCAAATTCTGTTTTTCCTCCCATGAGATGCTCTGCAACACCTTTATTGCAGCTGCTGTCAGTTTAGGCTGCGCCTTTATTTTGGCTTCAGTAACTGAAAAGCATGCTCTGTCGGGCTTAGATCAGGTGACTGACTTGGCCATTGAAGAATATCCCATTTCTTTGCCTTCAGAAAGACTTTTGTTTGTTTTTTGGGGTTTTTTTGTAGTACAATTTGGGTCATTATCCATTTGTACTGTGAAGCACTGTCTAATCAGTTATGCAGCATTTGTTTGAATCTGAGCAGAGAGTTGAGTCCTTTACATTTAGGAATTCATCCCGCTGCTTCTATTAGCAGTCAGCTCATCAATAAACATCAGTGATCTGGTTCCACTGGCAGTCATATGTACACATGCTGTCACATTGCCTCCACCATGTTAGGAAGATATGTGTTGTGTGATGTGATATGCTTTGGATCATGAGCTGTTTTGCTCCTTCCCCATACTTTTGTCTTCCCATCACTCTGGTTCAAGTTCATCGTGGTTTTGTTGGTCCAAAGATTTTGTTTCAGAGCTGCGCAGGCTGTTTTAGATGTTTTCTGACAAGGTCTAATCTGATCTTACTGTTCTTGAGTGTAACCAGTGGTTTGCGCATTGTTGTGAGCCCTATGCATTTCCATTAATAAAGGTGTCTCTTGATTGTAGACTTTAATAATGATACGCCTACCTCTTTGAGTGTTGTTCACATTGTCAGATGTTAGAAGGAGTTTTTCTTAACCATGGAAATAATTCTGTCATCATGCATTTTGCTGGCCAGTGCATTCATCCTTTTTAGGAATGGACCAGATTCTTTAAAGATTTTGGTCACTTCTTAAGTGCTTGCAATCTCTCTGATAGGTTTATTTTGATTTTTCAGTCTAACGATAGCCTCCTCCTCCTCCTTGAGATTTTTAGTGAATCACCACGAGATACAAATGATGTCAACTGGAGATCGTTTATCTGATTAACCTGTTTTATTTACCTTTGACCTGGTAGCGGCCCTATTTACAGGCACTTTTTAAATGACTGTGACTGTGTTCCCATTTGTGCTTGAGACTAAATTAAAACGGATTTGAAGAAGAAAAGGCGAGCTTTACAGGAATATTCGATGTATCATGGTAGCACAAAGCATTTATAGGTAAGTTGTCCAATTAATTCTGAAAATACCTCTGATTTCTAAACAGTTCAGACAATATTTTAATTAAACCCCTTGAATTAAAGCTGAAAGTCTGCACTTCAGTCATACCTCAGTTGTTTGATTTAAATCCATAGTGATGGTGTACAGAGGAAAAATGATTTTAAAAATGTCATTGTCTAGAGATGTGTGGACCTAAATGTTTGTTGGTTTTGAATTAGAAATGCCAGCCATTTTTCTGCTTTGGCATTGCTTTAATCATACTTAGTTTTTTTGTGATTCTATCCAGACTGTTATTCACCTTGCCCAAGAAGCATTGTAGAATCATGATAATGATACAAGGCTTTGGGTATTTAATCAGAAGTGGGATACAAAATGCAAACAGATCACATCCTGCCCAGAAAAACATTTCAAATGAAACGATTTATCAAAAGACAAATGATGTCATTGGGCATCTATGCTTTTTGCTGGCTCTTTTGAATGGTGAGGTGCACGTTGGTGCATTTCAAAATGCACCAACGTGCTTCATTTTGGTGAGAATAGATTGACATGTGAATTCTGTGAAGGTGCTTTCTTTGGATTAGTGTAACTCTGGGTCTGAAATGTTAGTTATTGGACACATTTTCTTGATCTCTAACAGCTCTGCAACAAAGTATGCCCCTTCACTATTTAAATGCACCAATTACTGCTTGGGTGGGATTGGTAGGTTTATCAGTGCTGCCTTTTAATGACTGAAACCAGCACTGTGAATTAAGTGAATTAAAACATAAAACTAATACAATGAACTGAAAAACATTATCTCTGTAGAGTTAAGAAGAACTGCACAGTTGGTTGATAAAGCGTTCTTTTCACACCGCGTTTGATCAGGAAATAAACGAAAAGATTTAGTAGTTCAACAGCTGCTTTTAATCACCTGTTATTCAGTTAAAACAGGATCAGACTTGTCAAGGACGTCTTTTGTGTTTCTGTGTTTTCAGAGCCTGCACATGTTTTCTCAGACCTGTCTGAAAAAACAGGGACGAGCGGTGAGGAGAATCGATCAGTCCAGGGGTGGACAAAGACAAAGAAGGAGCTGCACACCCGAGCTGGCACGTGGAAGACGTGGCAAGAGAGGCGCAAGGAGAGACGAGAGGTGAAGCGTCTGAGGAGGGAAGCTCAGGCCAGGCGGGAAGGAGGACTACTGATAAAGTCCCGCTGTAGCTCTGATGACGAAGTCTATCCCAGAGTCCCCTTTAGTCGGCCCGATGACAGGCAAAAACAGTCCACTGCACCTCCACAGAAGAAAAGGAGGGATGAGACAGGTGGCAAAAAGAGCAAGAAGAGCAGAGAGGCAGAAAGGTGGAAGAAAAGAGGAGGGGTAAAACGTGGGTATTTGTATCCCCATGCTGACATAGATATCAGGAGTGTAAATCTTCTTTCCCCAAAACAAAGAGTACGCCACAGAAAAAAATGATAGCTGATCTTTTTTTAATGCATTTATTTTTTAGGTGCTAATAAATGTAACAAGTTTGCAAAGAAGTCATTTTGTGTCTGTGATCTTTTGATGTGTTATTTATCAACATTTAATGACAGTACAGAAAACTGAAAATTATACAGGAATGTACTTTGGTACTTAATATTTAGTTTTGTAGTTTAATACTTAAGTGTTTTACACCTACACAGTTTTGAACATGTTTTGTTTTTATTAGATTATATTAAATTAGATTTTTATTCAGATGTAATATTTTGTGAATGTACCGTAGTTGCCTTCCTAGTAATATTTAATTTTTTTGTATTATTTTGAAATCTGCCTAGATGTTTAAGTGGCATATTGTAAAGAAAAGCATGAATACTGTAGTCTAAGGAGCTTGGAAACCAAAGCAACTGGACATTTCACCTCTCATCTGAGAAGCTTTTTCACTTCTAAGACCAAATGGTGGAGAATCCTAGGTATTTAAGCCCTAGTGGGAGTTCTCCCTTAGGGGTTAGGGATCTCAAAACTGGATCGTAGGTGGCAGACAGTTGGTGTTGTAAGCCACCCCTTCTGTTTATGGTCCTTCACAGTGGACATAGATGGCTTCTTTCACTCCTCTTTCAAATTATCTGTCTTCTCTGTCCAAAATGTGATCATTGACGTCCTTGAAAGAGTGACCTTTATCCTTTAGATGCAGATGTACAACTGAGTGTATCTCCTTAGATTACCAAGACCTGGATGATTGAGAACCTACACAGACATGTATACTGTAAAGGAGAAACTGTGGAAGTCTTGAATCACTCATTTCGTTTTGTTTTCCTTCTAAAGTGCCAGACTTTTCTGTAATTGTTTTAAAGTAGCCTTGAGCAAAAGTCTTTCAAAGTTTTTCTTTGGACATTGGAATATTGTTTTTTACATTGAATCATTTAAGCACAAAAAGGCACCTAAATCTAGGGCTGAACCGGTGTTGTATCTACAAATAACAGAGGCCCTAGCAAGAAACCAATTTAAAATGGAATTGTAACGTATTTTTCTTACTACCAGACTGTCACAAAGGCACATCATTTGTTCCTTTAAAAAAAAAAAGCCAAATCTATGAAAAATGCCAAAGATAACAGTTTGACAAGCATAAAATACTATTTCTGCACTAACAAGGTAATTCCCAAAAAGCTATTAGCCTAAGACTTGGCATGTCTCAGTATGGTGTGCAGTGAGTCCTTCAATATTTTGAGGAAACAGGCCTGAATGATTGATAATTCCAAACACACTGCCGATGCAGTTAAAGCAGTTAAGCTATCTTTGATTGACCTCCCCAAAGCCTGAATCTCAATACTATTGAAACGGTGTGGGATCGTCTTGACAGAAAACAGAACAAAAGGCAGCCAATATCCAAATAAGATCTTTGTCTTTCAAGAAGCCTGGAAGACTCTCCCTGAGGACTTACAGAAATTGCAGGAAAGCTTGCCTAAGATAATTCAGGCTGTGTTGAAGAATATAGGTGGCCATAACATATATTGACTTTCAATCTCATGACCATTGTACAAACTCTGTTTTCCTGATATACTGTATTTCCCTGTATGTTTGCTGCCCCTATTTCTCATTTCTTAGAAAAATATAAAGAATAATGACTCAAGACTTTTGGACAGTACTGTATAATTTGTGATCACAGCACAAGAATAAATATTTTCTGCGTGGAAACCGAATAAACGGACTTAGGTTTACGCAGTGCATTGGTGAGTATCCGTGTATGTGGAGCACATCCAGCTGAAAAAGCCCCGGGATGCCAGCGGCTCTCAAAGCCTTGTCTCATAGTATTTCTGCTTTGAAGCTGCTGAATAATTAATGAGCGGAGCTGACGCCTGCGGTTGGCCAGACAAAAATAGTCAATTCCGAAAACAAGCCAGTAGTTAAAGTCGACCTTGGCGCATGCTAATAAGACATATTTTGCTCTCGTCACTTTTCACTTTTCCTTTCTAGCGACTTTGTATAATTTTATATGAAAAGTAGAAAGCAATTTAGCAAAATGTCGTTCTGCTATCGATTGATGATGACTTGACAGCGATGCGAACCTCCCATTGATTGATCTCCACTACACTCCCCGCTGACCAGAGAAAACACTCGATAGCGAATGCGAGAGGGGATTTAAATTAGACATATACTGTCCACCTCAGTTCACGGACGAGGTAGCTGTTCGCGTTTTCATGTAGATAGGATATTCGCTATTTAGCTTTGCTCACCGACCAGCCTGACATTGACACGGAACGACGCTCGCTAGCTCGTAATGTCGGCACTGTTGGACTTGTTTTCCCCTCTAGACCCCGCTTCCTGTTAGCCTTGGGCTAGCTGGAAAATCGAATTTATGCTAATGAACGAGCAGGTATAGTTAGCAAACGCAGAGGGGTGTAACTTTTCTGTTTACTGTAGGCAAGCCGCTGTGGTTTACTTCTAATTTATTGAAAAACTTATGCTAATAACTTTATTTTGCAAGCAACTACCGGGCGGCCGTTTTTTGTGTTTTGTTTTTAGTTCGCTAACGCTTTACAGCTAGCCATCTTGCTTATGTTTTGTGTTGTCGGATCGAAGTGTTTTATTTAGCTGGCTTTTTGGTGGCACAGAGCTGGCTATTATTTTCAGTTGTTCCTCAGCATAAGTCTCGGCAATGGTTTCACTCATATAAGACTTAATTCTGTGCGACCAGTGCTTATAAAATACTTTTATTTAATGTGGGGAAAGCCTGACTGTTGACTGTGAAAACACAAAAGAGACGCAGAAAATGATTAAACCGTTCTAGTAATGAGGACAGCACTGACGATAACGGAGAGTTAAAACATAATTTTGTTGTACTGTATGCAGCTGTATTAATTTTGAATCCTTATGGTTTAAGAAAATAATAAGCGGTTTTTCGTTAAGTTGAGCGGCACCGATAGCAAAAAGGAGAAAGTGGATGGAGTCGATGCAGATGGTGCTTGTGCGACATACGAGGGCTGTGCTTCCCTGAACCTGCTGCCTTCAGGTGTCTCATCTCATTAAAACAATAGCTTTAAATGCCTCAGAAAACACTCGCAGTAGCAGGTGATCGTCAGAGGTAACTGGGCGGGTAGAGAGAGAGAGACGGAAAAGCGGTCTAAAGAGCGAGGCACCTGCCCGTACGTCACATTACATCCACCACCGCCGTCGTCCTTTTCTAGCCATGGACCCCCCGAGGACTCGTTCGCGGTCTCGGTCTGGCTTCTTTCATTTCGCCATGAACGGCAGCGTTGGAAGCAACGGCGGCGCTAACGCGATCGGTAACGGGGGCTTGATGAGCGCCAGCGGCGGAGGGGTGAACTACCCGCAGCAGAGCAACTCTAGCTGGGCGCCGCACCACGGAGGTCGTAGCTACCCCGAGAACCAGCAGCAGCACACCCAGGGGAGCTACCTGTCCGCAGGGGCGCAGCGCCACTCTTCACACGGAGCTCACAGGCATCCCGGAGCCGGTAAGCAGGGTTAAGTAGTCGGGGCCTGCAGCCCGGCTAGATGCATTGCATCTACATTACATACTAACACAGGATGGATCCCTCCTCTGAGGGATGCAGCCTCATCACTAGCAGCTTAAAAGGCTTGGTGCTTTCACTGCCAGCTGTTGCTTGAAAGGCCAGCTATGGGTCGCTGCTCGGTAGGCAGCAGTCTCTTTTCCTTAGAGGTTTGGTCAGCGTTTACTCATGTAAATAGGGAAAACCAAGTTCACAAACTTTGTCTTGTATGTCATTGGAAAATGGACTGGTTCTTATGTAACGCTTTTCTGCTCTCTCTGAGCACTCAAAGCACTGTATTCAACATGCCCCATTCACACAAACACTTGTTTCTAGGCTTAAGTGCTTTTTATCTGACATTCAGCTTCTGGTTAGTATCTTGCCCAACTTGCCAAACTATCTTGCCAAACCCCCAACCTTCCGATTAGTAGGTGACCTACTCTACCTCCTGAGCTGACTTTATTTCCAGAATTCAACTTGCCTTGCCCACAGTAGAAACTAAGCACTGCAGATAAATCAAAAATAATATTATTCTATTGGCCTGCAACTTCTCCCTGTATAAACTTATTTGTAGCTTAACTGGAAGACTATGACTTTTATACGTCTTAGTTTTATCATCCAAGTAACGGTTAATGATTGATGTTTGAATAAGCATATTTGACTTTTTTCACATTTGGGGAAACGTATATTTAAAATTGGCAGGGAGCATGTTTGGGGTTTTTTTTTGTTTTTTTGTTGTTGTTGTTTTTTGAAAAATACAAAGGTTAAACTTGTAGAATTGCTTTTATTAATCTTTACAGAAATACAAAAAAATGTAAAATGCATGTTAAGGATCGAGGAAACGGGTTATCTGTTATTGCAGTGGGTCTTGGAGTGTGCATTGTTCACACATCTCTAGAAATAAAGTGCAAATAGGTCACAAACTTTTCCTTGTATGTCATTGTCTGGCTTTATTCTCAGAATGCAAATGATCTTGGCTATTAGTAGACATTTCACACTGCAGATTTTTCCTAAGGCTAATCCAAGCACAGTTGTGCTTAAGGCCTCCAGATCACATTGTGTTACTCGTATGAATGCAGTTAAACAGTATAAGGAAAGTAACACCAAAAACATTCAGATTACTGTTATCTAGATAGATATTTAGCGATAAAGTTGAATTGCTTTTGACATTGAATAAAACAAATCTATAAGTTCTTCAGACTGTAATCGTGTTCGCTATAGAGCAGCAGTGCAATTTCATTTATCAGATCAGAGACAAATGCATGAGCCCACTGGTTAAGACATCCCACATGCTCTTATTCAGTTTCTGCAAGACATGTATGAGAGGAGTCTGATTAATAGAGCAGTTGGAGCCTTGAAACAAGGCTTGTCCTTTTCTCGATAGTGATTTATTTTTAGTTTCAGTGCTGTGGTGCAGGCTGGCATTATACAGTTTTCCTTGTTTCATCCTTAAGCATTATACTCTTCAACTTGCATTTTACCCTGAGTAAAGCTTGATATTGTCTCAGATTAGTCAAATATGTCTTTCTTTACTGTATTTAGCCATTAACAAGTAAAGATTGATGTTGCTGAGTGCAGTTGTGTGGGCTCATTGTTTGTTTCATCACTTTCTCACATCAAATCTAATTGTACTGTCCGGTTTTCATCAAAGGTTTATTCAATTAGCGGTGTTTCTTTACCAAACCCAAACTTGTCAACGAGACAGCAGAAAAAAATGTAAACAGAAGAGGAAAAAGTGAATGAAACTCTCATAAAAGAAAATAACATTTGAGATTGCACATGAGCCTCTTTTTGTTTATTATCTCACCACTGGCACCACTCTTTAGTGTTCAGCAAGTTTCCAGTGAAAAGTGACTGGAAGCCCTCTGTAAAACTAGACTGGCTTCCCTCAAAGGCAAACAAAAGTGCAGGGAATGAATGAAAGCAGGCTTTTAATTGTGCCATGTCGTAATAGAAGAAACTATTGCCAAACAGCCAAAATGAGCCATACAGACGGAGTCTCACAGAAACACACGCTTCCCAAATTGACAGACCAAAGTAGGGTTTGTGTGAATGACTTAAGCACTCTATTTCCCATCTGTGTGAGCTGTCTTCTTATTCCTCTTAGCAGCTGCACATGCCTCATCCTTTGTGGCAGGGGTTTGTGTGTAAAATGTGCTCTGTGTGTAAGCAAAGCAACACTGTGTATATTTAAGTGCATCACAGATTTTTTTTGTTTGCCAGGTCTTGTTTGTACATGTCACTGTATTACGCCTCTTGGCATCACTTTATGCAGAATGTGACAGGGTTGGATTTGGGGTTGTTAAAAATGTATCCAACTGCCTTACCTCTGTTATTTTCTCCTCCTATTTTTTTCTCTTCCATTTTCAAGCAATGTCATCACTTGGTATAGCTGTAATAGCTGGCTGACATTGTAGTTACATATTTACACATCTTCATCCGCAGATTCTATTTGTAAATCGAGTGGTTCTCTGATTACATCCTGTCTCTCCCACATGATACTTGAAGTTTTTGAACTTCAGCTAAAGAGCATGAAAAAATTGCTTCTTGATGACAGCTGATGCTCTGAGTTCACTACCCTGCTCGACTCAATTGTCTGTTGTAAAAGAAATGGTGTCAGTCTCCCATCAGCAGCCATGCTCAAAGGGAAGCAAGGTCGCGTCTACACACCAACAGAACCTGTCCAGTCAGACTCACCATCCCCTCTCCTAGCTTCCCGGGATGAATCAGCATATACCGGCCTAATTCTGCATAAACTGCATGGCCATCTGAGGCCCAGAACCCTATGAGGTCTAAAGAAAAAGGGATGGTTTGATGAATAAACATGTAAGCCAATGTACTGGCCCAAATGTTGGCTAGACGCTCAATCACCCGTCCCTCTGTTCTCCGCAGCCACTAGCGGGGCATCTTTGAGCTGTCACTATCGGCAGACTTCACATGGCTCTGGAGTGGCGTCGCAAAGACAAGAAAGGGGTAGGGGGCTGCCTTCAGATCTGTTGTTTCTGAGGAGGCAGAAAGGGCTGTCTGGATGAGAGAGGTTTACAGAGGAAGAAACAGAAAAGCATGAGGGGAGGAGTCCCCCCCTCCTCTTTTTGGTGATTAAAGGTTTTTTGGGGAACTGCTTAGAGGAAACTCTTGTCAGCCAAGTTCAAGGACATCCTTCTTAAGCTGCTGAAAGGTCTGCATGCACATGTTGCTTCCAGACTGCACATGTGGACTGTTAGATAAACAGATAGGAGAGCACTGTGTTTTTCTGAGATTACGTTTATAGCATTAGTGGTTTATTCAGCAATGTTATTTTTAGTTTTAGGTTTTTTGGGCGGGGGGCACATACTAATTTCAATCCCTTTTAGTGATGCTCTGTTGATCTTATAAAATAGATTCTTTATCAGAAACAAAGCTGTCATTGCAAACCTGATAGTGCTTGACTAACCTGCTTAGAAAATCTTTAGCACACTAAAAGTGGGTCAACATGACATTTGAAGCCAAGATTCTTGCTAATACTTTGTACGTGAAGGGGATAGTCACCAGGTATAGGGTCACTCCAGTTTATGGGCTAATGCTAGGGGGTTCAGTCGTTAAATGTATTGTGAAATGCAAAAAAAAAAAAAAGTAGTAATGAGCATGTCCATCATAATTTGCCAAAAGATCTCTTTAGATTGCAGGATAAATGCATATCTTCACATTTGAGAAGCTGAATTCAGGAAATGTTTGGAACTATTGCATGATGGGAATAGCACCTATTATCGCTTTTGATGTTAGTTATTTTCCTTATCTTCATTATCAATAATTTCCCTTCTTTATGCTACAAAAGTGGGTAAAGTAGTTATTTGCATTTGAAGTAGGTCACATTTTAAAAATCAAAAAGTTGCTCTGGCGTGTTATACATACGTGTGTGTGTGTGTGTGTGTGTGTGTGCGCGCGCGCCCGGTCTTTCCATGTAAGATCAGAGGGAGTGACTTGGCTGTGACAGCTAGCGAGGAGACGTCCAGGGTGACATCTTCCAGAGATGACTCGCTTTCTTGTCTGCTCATTTAAAGCAGAGAGTTTAAGTTTGTTTAGAAGACAAACCCTATGGGAGGGCAAAGCACTTTTCTGGTTGTGTAACAAAATGTCACATTTTTGTTTTCTACGTTGGACTTTGTGGTGTGAAGTCTGTAGAAATGTTTAGGCAAGAAAAGGAAAATAAAATGTCAGAGGCAGCCAGTTACCTGTGTATGTTTGTGTGTTGCGGGTGGTGTATTTTTGTCTGCTTGGCTTGCAAATGTCCATGTGTCTTGTGATGTTTTCCTCAGTCCTGTCTTATCTGATTATGATTTTTTTTTTTTTTTTTTTTCAATATGTGCGGCCGGCAGGAGGAGTGCTACATTTTCATCCAGATAACGTGTGCAGCGAGGATCGGGACAAAGTAAGTATGAAACATGACCACGGCCTGTTTTCCTTGCTCTTTTTCTGGTTTAAATAGAATTTGTATTTCATTGTGCTCTCTTTCTTATTCATCCTCTCCCTTATTGGTCTCACTTTTTTTTTTTTTTTTTTTCCCCTCTAACCGAACATTTGTGGTTTCCTCTCCTCCCTCACCTCTGTGTCCAGATGGAAGACAGCCCAAGCCCAAAAAGGCAGCGTCTTTCCCAGCAGTCCATGTTAGATTTAAACTCCGCCCCACCCTCAACTCCTTCCTCTCCCATTCGCCCCTGGGAGCTGCCGCCGAGTCGCAGACCACACCCTCACTACATGCCAGAGCGATGCCACACACCCCTTCGAAACCGTCGCAGGTTTGTGTCTGACACAAATGCATACAAACAGACTTCATTAATAAATTAAAAATTTCAGCCTGTAAATGTAATGACTTATGACAGATTGGAGATCTTGCAATAGTATCTTTGAATTTGTCTGTATTAATATTTATTATGCTCAGTTTTATTAGTTGGCAGCTGGCAACTTATATTTTGTGGCATATTAGTGTCTGTGTTCTATGTGACTGGAATAAATTTTAGTATTGTCTTCTCATATTTTCTAGTATAATTAAATTAATCAGATGTGTTAAATCAGGAAGGTCTATTGAGGTTACAAAGAAAATACTTGAATGTATTAAGGTATCAGATACACAGCAATTTGCTCTGATGCATTGCAATCTGCATGCATTTGTGAATTTTCACTTGTTATAGTGTATTTGGCTGTTTGTCTGAATGTTAGAATTGATTTGAATATCTGAATGAAAAATTCCATTTCAGAAAGCTTAATAACTTGAATACTAATCTGCCTGTTGAGTGGTTTTGACTCTTGTTTGGTTAAATGAATTAGGAATTAAAGTTTTAGTCATGTTGCCATAGGTGGCTTATCAGGTGTCTTTCATGATGCAAATGTCAACATAACTCCTTCTGCCTCTTCTTTAGTTTTTCCTTCTTTCTTCCACCTCAGCCCTCCAATGAGACGTCAGCGTGGGCGGAGAGACCGTCTGACCCGACACCACCACCACCACCCCCACAACAACAACAACAGCCATCACCACTACAACAGCAACAACAATCACCACCATCACCCCAATGCCCACCATCATCATCATCACCACCACCACCTGCACTCCCATAACGGCCCTTCACCTGGCCATCAGGATGAAAACTACCGCCATCCGGCTCCTCCACAGGGCTACCCACCCTATAACCAGCAGCTTCCCCGAGGGCCTGGGGCAGGGCCTGGGCCTGAAGAACGCCCTGGGTACCATCCTCCAAATCCCTCCCCGAGGCCTCTTCACCAGTCTCCAAACCTTTCTCCCAGGCTTCTGCACCCTGCAGCTCATCCACAGCACCCACACGCCCACCCTTCCCAGCAACAGAGCAGTGTGGTGTTGGATCTTCATGAGCAGGTGGGTTCAAAGCAGATGATGTGACCGGTTTTAGGAAAGAAAAATAATTGAATTGCTGTTAACTGAATCATTTTCTGTGCTTTTGTCTCCTTTTGTTTTTTAACTCTGCTTAAGATTGAGAGATGGGTGCAAATAACACTCTAAGATGCAAACAAGTCAATGTGAAAATGAAAGCCTATCACTCGTGGGTGTAAAAACTTATTTATGGCTGTAGATGGAGACTAATGAGTAATATAATTTTGTTTTGATCATACAGGTAAAAGGTTAATGCAGGATTGTCTGTTAATATATCTGGCTTGTTTGTGTTTTATTCATCTCTACATGCATGCATACATAATCTTTACATAAATCAATACATAAATTTTAATGCACATATCCAGCAGTCTTAAAGTAAGCATTTTGAACTTATCTCTAGAAAAGAAAACATAATGAACAATGGATTTAATGAAAACACAAAAAAGAAAAAAATGGAATAACGAGTTTTCAGCTGCAGGGAAATGCAGACCTCAGGGTTATCATCTGCTTGATTTGTGCGCCACAACAAGTATAAATCTGTGGTGTTAGCAGTGATCCATGAAGTTTTAAAATTTGTTATTTACAACTCGGACAATGTGGATTAAGTCTGCTAACTCCAGCTATCCAGCTTTTAATTAAAATTTACAGCCATAAAGTGGCAGACCTTTTTTTCTGCTGATCTCCATATTTAGGGTTCGGCTCCTGTCTCGTATCCTGTGACACCACCGGGAGCGCCACCAGGCCTGCCACCTCGCTCTGCCCCACAGCAGATCCCAGCATGCTCTGTGGTCTTCAGTGGTCAACACTATCCTGTGTGCAGCGTCCCTCCTCCCGTGAGTGTTTTTGCTTTTTTGCACGTTTTTTTTGGTGATTTTCTGTTTTGTTTTTTTTGGTTTTTTTTGTTGTTGTTGTTTTTTGTTTTTTTTAACCTTATGGTGAAATGGGGAGAATAGTGACAGTTACTTAAGGGAGAAACTGCTAAACTGAATATCTGAGCTGAATATAATTTCATCCGAGACTCAAGGTAGAAAATAATACTAATTTAAAAAAAAGTTTGGCTACAAGAAAAAGAAAAGATAAAAAAGATTATATTAAATGAAGAATATGTTTGTTAAAAGGATAAAGTCTAGAGAAAAGATGGCCTTTCTCTTTAGTATTTTGTTTTCTTTACATGCAAGTTATTTTTATGGCAATTCTGAGAATTTTGTGGCTGATGTTCTGGGAAAACTGCAAATAATTACCTGAAGGAGGTAATCAAAAATAAATAAATAAATAAATAGTACCGTATTTTTCGGACCATAAGGCGCACCGGATTATAAGGTGCATTAGGCAAAACAAAACGGTCAGATAACTCAAACTTTACTCAACTCATTCTTCTTGCTTCCTCTTTTCCGTACCATTGATTCATTAATGTTGAATTCTCTCGCTGCTGCTCTATTCCCATGTTGTTGTATATTAATGACTAACCTCGTATTGTGGATGGATTTTCTCAGTTGTTCTCCTGCCTGAAGTTTGGTCCCTTTACAGCATCCTGCCATGCTATTGCATTTGTCTCCAACCATCCGGAACCCTCATGTTTATTGAGTCACTGCTGTTTAGTTTCATGTTTTTATTTATATTGGAAGTGAAAGCAGAGCTGTACATTTTAATTATTTCAGAAATCTCTCAGTCAGAACATGGTATATCATGTTTAGGTGGAAACTAGCGAGCTCGCTTCTAACTCCATTAAATTTAATACATTCTATTTTCATGGATGCCTGGATATTAAACTTCATTGTTAACGCTGACCGTTTTATTAAAGATGAAAGAATTTAGATAGTTTTTAACTCTTACTGATGTCGCAGTGTTCGTTTGACTTTGGGACTCCTGACTACGGTAGTCGTAATGCTCCGACAATCCATCAAGTGGTGTGGCTTCGTAGCTTACCAAAGTCGTACTAAAACATTTTTTGACAGATTTTTGAGCGTTGTGTATCACATAAAATCGGTTCGAGGTCAGTAAGCAGAACCAGAATTCATACATAAGGCGCCCTGTCAATTTTTGAGAAAATTAAAGGACTTTAAGTGCGCCTTATAGTGCGAAAAAAAGGATAGTAGTTTTGATCCCACGCATGGTCAGAGGGGTTTCTGAATTTTTCCGTGAAGTATGAACAAAAGCATACAAAAGTATTATCAATTTATGAATACATTTTATGCATGCATGATTTGAACACAAAAAATCTATGCTCTTCAGAAATGTTGTAGTTTGTTCAGATGTGCTTTTTAGAGAGGCTTTCTCTTGGCAACCCATGCTTGTTCTTTCCTTTTCTAATTAACCAACAAACAGCCAAAACTTCTGCTTTTAAAGAGCCAATCATAATTTGTTGATCTTCATTTAATCTAGTGCATTTGATTAGCACCAGCTGGCATCTACGTCACTGCCTAATTTGGAAGTGGCAAAAGTGTACTTACCGTACTTTTTCACAGGACTGTATTTCATTTTTTGTTTTGGAATTAAAGTAGTTATAGGTGTAAATAAGCATTTTATCGACATGAATTCAAATCATGTCTGTTAAATGTTACTTAATCTTCTTCTGTTATTTTTATTTATCTATTTATTTAAGAAATCCTTTTTTTTAACATACTTTAACAAGTGAAACTTTTGTGTGTTTCTGCTAGGTCCTTCAGACTTGTTCTGTACAGCACTTACCGATGCCCTACCCATTCCCATCACTGTTGTCCAGTGATCCGGCCTTCCTGCTCCCCCCACCTCATCTCACCCATACCCCCACACATCTTTCCCACCATCCACCTCATTTGCCTCAGCCTGGACAGTTTGGACCATATCCAGCACAGCAGGCCCGTTCGGTGAGCGGGAAACCTTTTGATAACTTGGTATCAAATACAGCTTTTGTATTAGGTGTTTTAATTTAAGCTAGTAGTTAGTCACAGTCGAGATCTTTCTGGGAAGCTTTCAAAATTCCTCCTGGAATTTCAAAAACTGTAAACTTTATAAAAACGTCTTACGAAGTTCAAGCTAAATGGGTGATGCATATTTTAAACACTAGAGTTGAAGCAGTTTGTGGTATTCTTGAGTTTTGGTAACAAATGAGTATATGTACTGAAACTGGTATTGACAGCTCTTTTGTGCACATTTTGTCTTTGCACAGCTTTAATCTAAAACTTTATTTCATTTGCATTGGCTACATGTTAAAGCAGCTGCCAATTAACTGATTAAAAAACGATTTCAGAGATAATTCAATTGTTTTTTTTTTTCTTTCTGAATTCAGTTATTTCTTTTCTTTATCCCTTTTTAAAACACTTGTATTTCAAAGGTTGAAACTTTCTTTCTTAATCCCATTCAGACTCTTTAATTAAATTTATTAAGTTGTTAAGTTGCTTCTTATGCTGTAATGACAGGAAAAATCCTGGGCAATATCACCTATGTTTTTAATTTTAACATTTTGTCCTTGATCTCCTCAGCCGTTACAGAGGATAGAGAATGATGTTGAGCTGCTTGGTGAGCATCTGTCTTTGGGTGCTGGGCTTCACTATCCTCCTGCCACCCACCCTGCACTCACCCCACACTCCACACAACTCCACTTCCTGTCCCATGACCCCCTGCCACAGGAATTCTTTGGAGTGGTGAGCATTTACAATAATTTATAAAATATGTTTATTTCATCCCATGAAGTGTTATATAAAAAAATGTAATGCTGTGCAAATCATCTGACTTGTATTTGTTGTATCTCTCCACCTAGTCCTATCCAAACTTCATTCCTCGCCGTCTCCCAGGGCGACGGTACCGCTCCCAGCAGCTGCCACCTTCGCCTTACCACCCCAGCCTCTTGCCTTACTTCCTGTAAGTAGAACGGGGAATAAATTCACTTAGAATTATTTTTTTTTAATTATCTTTAGACAAATATCCAGAGTGTATCAGAAAGAATAATCTGATTTCAAAAGATTATATTGTTTTTGAAGTAATGGACATAGAAGCTTGTGGTAAATTTTAAAATACATGGCTGAATATAAAATTTGGTTCAAAACCTCAGTGCTTCCCCCTCCAGACAGACAGCATATGTCCACATGATAGTCCAAGTCTTCCTATACTTTTGTGACCATGTCTGGAGTCACTGCAGCCACTGCTGTTATGCTACTTACCTACAACCACGTAAAACTGATGACTTCTCTTTCTTACTGTATGTGTTTCAGTCATTACCGGTGGACAGCTGCAGAATTAAAGGACTTTTAAATCGGCTCATTCTTTTTAATTTACCTGATATTTATTGCTGGAATGTGAATATTTATTAGTGTGTTATTGATAAATATGTTAATTTTGCTGCGTGTTTAAAAGAACCGAAGAACAAATCTTTTCCACACCCACAAAATAAAAGCAAATTAATAAAGTCAAGATATGAGATGCAGCCATTGAGACTTGAGCATGGTTATTGAAAATCCCCTTGAGGCTAAGGAACTAATACAGAGTTTATTTATTTAAACAAAGAATATAATGACTGCAGTGCAGGCTATTGGTTAGATTTTACTGATCCCCTAATGAGTCTTCATCCAAACTGTGTTTAAGGTCAAGATGATATTTGTCATTTTTACAGGTACTTTTCAATTTCCACTCCTGGATTTGACTGTTTGTGAGCCACCTTGACTTAATTTTCATTATTTTGTACTATACAGCCAAGCAGTGACAACAAAACATAACTTTATTGTAATGTGAAGTACAAAAAGTAACTTTGTATTGTGATGATTCAAGAGCTGAATTAACTGCTATGTTATTAATGTTTTGGTTTGTGTTAAATCGCTCTTCTGTAGATCAATGCTGCCGGTCCAGCCAGGTCCTGCAATCAGTCTAGAGCTGGATGTCGATGATGGTGAAGTGGAAAATTATGAGGTTTGTTCTTGCCATTCTTTAGCATTTTGGTTATGCATTTCCTGGTGTGCAGGGTGGGGGAGAGACTCTAATTCTACTGTCGCTGATGTTTTCTCCCACAGGCTCTGCTGAACCTTGCTGAGCGCCTGGGAGAGGCTAAACTCCGGGGACTGACCAAGGGAGACATAGAACAGCTTCCTTCTTATCGATTTAATCCAAATAACCATCAGTCTGAGCAAACACTGTGAGTACTTCCCTTTTAGAAACTATGTACTTGCTAATAATGGACAATTATCCTAATTATTTTTTTTATTTATTTATTTTTTTCAGCTACTCAGGGTTGAGAATCTCATTGTGGACTTTTATCGATAACAGACTGTCTTTGTACATTTTATTTAGCATATTTATAGTTTTGAAAGCTTCTGAGGGCTTAACACACTGCTGATATCACCCATAAACTCTCTCTAATGGGGTTGGATACCATGAGAAATATGTTCACATTCAAAATGTGCATATTTTTTAGTAAAGCGTACATCCAAGTGACCTTTTTCAAAATAATTTCCACAGATACCCTAAGTTACTGGCCTAACTAAATCTGCCTGAATGCACTGTCTGTCATTTAGAAAGTGTCAAAAAGGTCTCTTCCTTTGCTGTAATTTGTGTGTTAATAGCTATCTCATTGCAGGTGTGTGGTATGTATGAGTGATTTTGAGTCGCGTCAACTGCTTAGAGTTTTGCCCTGCAGTCATGAGTTCCACGGAAAGTGCGTCGACAAGTGGCTGAGGGTACGTGTGTCCAGCATGAAGCCCACCAGCTTATGCTGATCTCTGTTACACACATATATTTACAGTTAGCCAAGTTAGCCAAGGCTTATTGCGCATTGTTTGGCAACAGATTCACATCACTGTTCACACATGGCATTAACATCAAAATAAGTGCTCACTCCAAGTGTAAATTTGAGTCCTCTCAAGACACTTTAAGGGATGATCTGATAACCTAAACCAGATTTTGAGCTGGTCTCAGCCACATAAGGTCACTTTGTTTTTCAAGTGAGCATGAAAATGTGCCTGAGGCCTCATTATGAAAGACTGCCCTGCTCATTGATGACCTCTGTGCAAGCATAATAGTGCGCTCATTGGCTCTCAAATGAGATACACAGTGCCTTTTAATGTTTGTAAATGATAAAGACAGTTTATGAGTGTGTTAAACACCTTGGGTGATCTGGTTTGCCAGGAATGTATCAAAGAATAAACAGAGTATAATATTGTTGTGATTTCTTCTTCTAACATTAATTTCTGGCAAACTAGTATTGAAAATTGCATCGCTTTGGTCTCTGCAGAGAGAAGTGGCACACATTTTTTTTTTTTTTTTTTTTTTGCAAATGAAGCAGGAAAGTGAGAGACGCTCACAGGTTGTCACTTGAGACACATGTGGTGATGGATTCTAATGTCAAGTGTAAATTAGAGCTTTCTAAATGTAATAACATCATTCATGACCATGTGTGAACAGGGCAGAAGTCACCCAGCAAAGTGTTACATAACATAACCTGGAAAACTTTTTGGAAGTTGCTGAAAGGCACAAACCTAATCAGTCCAAGCACACATGTATTAAGATACACAGACACCTCTTAATTATAGGATTCTAGTGAGAATCTCACTCTTCAAGAGATCTGATAAATAGCAGAAGCAAGTCTCAGTCCAAGTGTGTTGAAATGTTTCTCATCTGATTTACTGAAATCTGTGAACTCGCACTAACCCCAGGATACTACAGTCAGAAGGTGCTGAAGATTTCATAAACACGTGATTTCCCACTGAAAATGCTAAATGAGGCTCTTGAACACCAAGTTCTTGTTGATCATACCAGTCTTATGATTTAGACACACGCTGCACTCTACAAAGCCTCAGTGTAAATTGGGTTAAAAGGGTTGCATATTGATTAAAAAATAAAATATCTAAGTGTGCGACCATGAAATCAGTATCCTGACTGAATATAAGGACCATCTCTCAAACCTAATTTGCCGTTTTCTCCCTCAGGCCAACAGGACGTGCCCCATTTGTCGAGCGGATGCCTCAGAGGTCCAGAGAGACTCGGAGTGACCACACGAGGGAGCCAGACACTCCTTAATGTCTGTCAGACATGTTCAGCACTGCCTGCTCTCTCTCTCTCTCTCTCTCTCTCTCTCACACACACACATACGCGCACACACACACACTCTCACACCACAACCTTATATATTTGTGACCATAATCTTATATGTTTGTGCAGCACTCTCTCTTCCTGTTTTCTTTTCATTCTTTGCCAAAATGTTGCATCCCCTCGTACATGTAATGTCATTTTCATGGGATGACTTCCTCTCGCACTTTTCTACCATGCAAATGCACAGAAGTCCTCCAGTATCTCCCGCTCTAGTGTGTGTTTGTGTGTGCGCGTGCGGGCGCGTACACGTGCATGCACCACACCTGTGCAACTGTTGCTGGGCCCATTCTGTAATGCAGGGCCGTGTGTGTGTGTGTGTGTGTGTGTGTGTGAGAGAGAGAGAGTGTGAGTGGTTTTTTTTTTTTTGGTTTTTTTTAAACATCTCCTGAAGCATGTCTGAGTTTTCTGTTGAGAAAAGTAAACAACATGTGAGAGCTTTTTGCTCTCATGAGTGACTGACTTTACTTCCTGTTTGTATGCTTATGCACTGTCTGTATGCATACTATGTGTGTATGTATGTTATAGACTTAAACCTTTTCTCTAGTTTGACACTAAGGGTCCATGCTGCCACTATAGTTCTTGGTTGCTTATTTGTTCAGTTCATTATTATTATTATTGTTATTATTATTATTATTGTTATTATTATTATTATTATTATTATTATTATTATTATTATTATTGTTATTATGGTTATTATTATTCAGCTATTATTAATGGTTATTTTTCTTCCTTGCAGTTACCTCATCATTCCGATTTTGTTCATCTTTCATTAAAAGCTTCACAGCACTACTTTGAAATTAAGCACATATATTTTTCTTTTCCTTTTTTTCTTGGCAAAAATAATTTTGTCTGTGACTTTGCAGTGGCACATGTTAAATATATATATATATAAAAAAACTTGCTCTCTCTCTCTATATATATAAACTGTATAAATCTATGAATATCTGTATACCAAATAAAAGGCTTGATATGGACTTTTTAAATGTAGTAATTTGTATATTCTTTTTTTTTCTCCTTTTTATTTTATTTTTAACATTCAGCAGCAAAAATCATGTTTGGTTTGCTGGATTTCTAAACATGAAACTACAGACCGCTGCTGTGGATGACTCCCTATTTTTCAGAAGGTGTAACAACTTTCAGGTGACCACTGGGTGGTGTAACTGCTCTTCAAGACTGCCATCCCCACCTCCCTTGAGAACTTGTCACAGTTATTGGGGCTGATCCAACACTTCTGATGGCGTTCAAACTGATGATCAAGCGCCTAAAACCCTTTTGCACTCATGTTTAATTAAGTGAGAAGCCTCTTGACCTGGGGCTGATAAGTCCCCCCCATACTTTTTTTTTTTTTTTTTAATATATCATCTTCCTACAAATCTTCATTCAGTCCCTCTTTCTTACACTTCTTGTTAGACCTGCATCTTCTGATCTACAACCTCATGTTCTGCCTTTTTCTCCCCTTCCTAGCACTTTTGCCCTTCCTGTAATGACTTTGGTGATTCTCGATCGCTTCCTGCACTGCTTCCTGCACTTCCTGCACTGCCCTCTCTCCTTCAGTTGTGCTCACCACTTTTTTCCTCTCCACTGTCTTTTTACTTATGCATCTCCACCCACTCCTTTGACTTGCTTCCGCTGCATTGAAGGGGAAATAAGGGGGTTTTGGTCTAAAACTACCCAGTTGCTCCCGTGAAGCGCATAATCTGCCTTGTCTCGTGTTCTCTTTGCCACTCAGCTATTGTTTCCTGCCCATGGTTGTATGAGGCAAGTTCACCAAATTTTAATGGCACATAAAGCCCTCTTAATGTAGGAACATTCAATTTCTTCCAACATTTTAAGTAATTGTGAAGTGAACTGCAAAATGAAAACTACAATATAGAAGTTAAAATCAAAAACAATTTCCACAACAATACCCACCCTTGATAGTACTCAGATAGTACAAAATATTCCTACAGTAGAACTTCAGTTGCCCAAAACCTCGGGTAAAAGTTCTGGTTTGAATGTCCACGTGTTTGCTTGGTTGACTGCTCTCCGCTCACTCATGAGTGGCTGCCTTTTCTGTCCTCAGGATGTGCCCAGGTTGGCGACATGTTTTGGGCAGCCTGTTCTACTATGTCTGAGAAGATGCTGAGAAGCTGATCCTAGACATGTTTTATCTTTGGAGCAAAAATAAGGCTTTTTAAAAAATTTAAAATCAGACGCCACACCCTTTCTCTGAAAAACAGAGGCAAGAGTTTTTCCTTGTGAGCAGCCAACATTTCTAATGTGCAAATCTAGAACTGTAGTTGTGTGTGTGCGTGTTTGTCGGTGAGACCCTGTGTTCTGAGGAGGCTGTCTCAAGCTGACAGGGTACATGGATTCTCCATCTTGCTTGTATATATAAAAAGAAAATGAGATGCCTGCTTCACCTACACCCACACCGATACCCACACACGTATACGGGTGTTTATGTATCTTTCTTTCTCCAAATTTTTTTTTTTTTACATTTTCCTTGTTCAGCAGTGTGAGGGTTAAATGTGAACGTGTCAGCAGGTCAGGTTGTCCCCTGCCTGTCTCCCTGAGTGAAGTATATGTGTGTAATATTTATTTTATAGGGATTTCCCTCTCGCCATGCTGGGTGGCTGCTGGCCATGTCATGTTCTGAGCTGTCAAAGGCCATCACTGTCACTCGTGGAAAATGAGATGTGGGTGTAAGAGAGAGACACATGAGACATGGACCCGACAGAAACAGAGACAGAATCATGTCTGCCATGTGTGCTTGGGTGTGGGAATAGCCCGGGTACTCGGGGCTCAGTGGAAGTGGCAGCGCCAGGTAGAGGCTTTCGGTTTCATGCAGTTTGCAGGAGGAAAGGTGAGGTTTAAGGCTGAGTGCATCATTTCCGTTCACGGGTGTCTCTGGTCGTCTTCCCACTCTGCCAGATGATTCCTTCTTAGGACACAGTGTGAAAAATAAAGTGGAGCAAATTCCATGAAAGCACTCTTTAATCTGTAAATGCTGCCATCATTATCTGTTGGCTTTTATGGTTTAGAAAAAATATTACAATATGTAGTAATTGTCCAGTTTTAGGAGTTCAGCTTCAATTCAATGGGCCATTTGTCACAGTTGGCAGTTTCATGGCCAGGCGAAGCCTTTTCTTTCATTATTTCACGTCAAATGAAACAGATGTACTTGAAGATGATTCAGAGTGTTGAATCTGTATAACATATCTTTTCACCTTAAATGTGAGACCCAACGAGATGAGGGAGGCCGTTATCAGAGTGAAGAAACAGTTAAGAGATGCCTTTATGAATGCAAATAAACAGTGTTTACAAGCAGTAACAGGAAGGCCACATTGAATTTTGCTCAGAAAACATCTATAAGAGCCTGCACAGCTCTGACTTTGGACAGATGAAACCAAGATTAATGCAAATTTGTGCAAAAAACCCCTCTTGAAATAAGGCTGAAAGTCTGCGCTTCAATCACATCATGGTCACCTGTTAAAAAAAAATCCACTGTGCTGCAGAAGAAGGCAAAATGACAAAAAATGTGTCTTTGGCATAAGAAATTCATTCTTGCATCTTCTGTTTTGAATTGAAAATGTTTCATCTTCAAGGTTCTATCTCACTTCCAAACCTCCTCCTAACTCTAAAACTAAACCCCAGTAAGGACAAGCAAACCTTTATAAAGCAAAGATGTATTTGTTTCTCATCTTGATAGAAGTACACATGAGAAATCAGGGTGAATACATGTGCACACATAAATCAACAAAGCTGAACAGACACATAAAACACTTTAAATGCGGCAATGAATGTGACTGATGATCCAATACTCGAATCATAGTTTGATTTAGATGAGGGCAGCCATATTTTCCCACTTTCTATTATTGTCACCTTCTCTGCCCTGTTGGTTATCATTTTAAAGCCTCCACGGTTTTGGTGTTACATCACTTTTCAGTGAGTTTTATATATTTTTTTAAAGGCTGAAAAGCAAATCTGATGCCAGCTGGCTTGATGATTTGTCTGGTGGTGACTTTTTTATTCTTGGGTTTATGTCTGCTCATTCCAGTATATCAAATAAGGACAGTTTATACAATTTATTACTGTGGTCAAGCAAAGGTTTTAAGGCATGGTTTGAGACAATGAAAATAGGAAAGTAGTAACCTGCATCTCACACTGGGTGCAAACAGACAATATGAGTTACATATGTTACGTTCTGACACAGATGTTGACTTCAGTTTACCCCATTATCTAAAAGAGATGCAAGTTTTACCTGCTGATAAGGTGATGCCATATATGACCTATGCAACTCCTGTTTTTCCCCTCTGCTAAGTGAGAATGAAAATATGATAAGGGACAATAACACAGACTATTAAAACTCAGTTGTGTGCATGAAGGACATGGGTTATTCAATCTATGATCTTCAGTATATTGTGAGTATGTCTGCTTTCTGGAACACCTGGCAAAAACATTAATTTGGATTCAAGGATTGAACTATAAAAATGTGTTCACTGTGAGTTCACCCTAACTCCAGAAGCCACATTTCACACAAATGTAAGAGAAGCAGAAAAGATAAAGAGGTATCTAAAAGGTCAAAGTCAACTTCAAAGTGATATCATGGAAGAACACAATCATTCAGAAGCTGCACTCCTTCAGTCCTGTAAGCTGGGTGAGTTCCAAGTAGACACGACAGATTCAGCACCCTTGTTATGCCACAATCTAATCAATCTCACAGAGACTACTGGACATCAAAATCCTTGGCCTTCTATGATGCAGAATATCTCCCCTCTCAGACTCCGACCTCCTGGCAGTACAAATTGTTTTGAGTGTTAACTTCACTTACAGAAACAGAAAGGGAAAGACCTTGAGTGCAAACATTTAACATTCGAGCCAAATAGAGGTGGTGCTTACAAGAGGAATGTTAACAGCCCTGACCAAGCAGCTAGTGAAGAAAATGGAATATCAGTCAGTCATTGCCAAACTTGTGACCTCCTTTCTTTAGGCGCTAGAAGACTCTGTGTCTCTTCAGGGGGAAGTGGTAAGAAGTGGTAGGTAAGCCACAGCTTCTCCCTTGTCTTGATCCTTACCATTTATATGGAGCCGCAGGAACCTTCTCCCTCTCTGGAAAATAAAGTCTCTCTGGGTTATGACATCAATACTGTTTTCCAGGCTCAGCGATGTGCACCTGCTTCCTGCCTCTGCACCAGTCCCAGTGGCACAATACCAATCATATCTACACTGAGTGATATTTGTAGCTCCCAGTCAAAGAACTCCATCAAACCTGATACCAGCAGTGCCAAGGGGCAACCACATTATGCTGAAGTGTCTTCTTAATCATCCACCATTGGATCTCACATCAGCCCAACTCTTAGTGCATCCAA